CAGTTTCCTTACTTTTCACTTCCATTTAAACTACTGGACTTTTTCCTGCCCATTCTATACATTAGCAAAATCACATCAAGGTTTTAATAGAAATGAATAAACACGGGAAAAATAATACAGAGGACTGAATGCTAACAAATAAAATTTATAAAATTAATCTAGGACAGGATTTGAATCTGACCATTTTAGTCTCTTTCTTGTCTGTAATCAAATACCCACTGGCACCAAAAACGCTACGCAAAATACTTATCTGATCTATGGCTGGTTTTTTACACACCTTTTGACCACATTACAAGATGATGCTATTGAGATGACACTGTCATTGTTATGTCTCTTTTGTAAATTCAAGGAATTTTCATTTTAGTTAGTCAGATGTGTACCAAGGCTTTCCAACACTGTATGCTGACCTGTGATCCATGCTGATCATTGCCATTGTTCACCATTGACACGGTTCCCTTCTTCTTGTGCTTAATTCTTGGCACTTTTTCTGCCTCAAAGAATCTAGCTTGATCACCGTACAGTTGACTGAAAACATAACAAATATGTTACAAGACAAAAGAATTTTAAAAAGTGAGCTAAACCAATGCTGTAAAACAGTAAATAAAACACCTTAAAAATGTTTACATTGGCATTCAAATAAAACCAGATTTTACATTGCATCCATGTACCATTTTTATGGACCTGTACACTTACATAAATTCACTTTGTATTCCAGGGAACAACAGATTTTTCTCTGAGGCATTTCACAGAGGCTTTGTGGGGGGGGGGGGGCAGGGGAAGGTATATTTGTATTTTTTAACTGCAGTATATAACATTTTTCTAAGGCACAAAGAGAATACAATTTTGATAAGTAGGTTCCATCAAAATATGTTAATCCACACTGTAAAAATGTAATAGTTTATGCCAAAAATTTCTATTCCAATATAAATGGAAAACCACTAAATCTATGTGTTAACTTAGTTTATCATACAGACAGGATGCATACAGTAATTTGAGATACACAGGATATGGCAAATTGTTAAATTCTTTGTAATTTTTTAAGTTTAACCCTGGTATCACTCGTTTTGTCACACTCCATAACTGACAGAGGCATAGTCAATACACACATTTGCTCAAATTTAAGGACAGTGTTGTGTTTGAAAGCCTCTATGAAGAGAGGATTCAAATTAAACTTTGCCTGGGTAGCAAGTTTCCTGGGTAGCAAGAACAGAAACTCCAATTTCATGGACTTCAGTAATGAAGAGGTAGAAGAGACAAAGTGCCATTCCCCACGCTAGCAGCAGAACAGAACCTGCCACTGTCATCACATTATACTTCCCCATCTGCCACACCAATGAGCCCCAGAAGACCAATCCTTATAAAAGAGCAGAATATCAAAATAAACTTGATCTACCCATGTGCAGAGACAGCTCAGGTCTGTCAAGTTTACCTACCTAGACCTGCATCTGCTTAGCACAATTATACTGCTTCCAGGATCACCAGAGTGATGATCCGTGTGTTCAAGGTTTTATATTTAAGAGACTCTGACGGACCAGACTTATAAATGTCAACACTGGTCTAGCAACACTGTCTCTGTTCAAATTTATCTCTGTGTACTGTGTTCCCCAGCATTCCAGGTCTAGTTCTGCTCTGCAATTTTAATTCTACTTTTAATAACAATTTCAAAAGAATCATATAGAACATATGCACTTTGCTAACTTCCATCCTAGCTGTTTGAATTTATTCAACTTTTATGTGCATGACCACTGAAAACATCTTAAACAAGGAAGAACAGTGATTTCCTTACACACATTCAACATGACCAAAATGAACTCAACTGAATTTTTAGAACAACAGGATTACTTTCCTACACACAGAGGAAATCAAGTATAGTCTCTATATTCCCCTCCTGCTCAGTTAAATACATTTTGTTACAAAACCAGAAGTAATAACAAACTGTTAATGATTTTGCCTTCTACAGAGCACTTAGTTATGATACTTAAAAGATCAAACCTATAGTTATTTGCTAACTTTTAAATAAACAGAAATTTATGTAAAACTTGTTAGTCGTAACTTCACCTCTAAGGTCAGAGATCAAATACTGTCCAGAAAAAAAACGTGAACGGCCAAAGGCAGTGTAGGAAATAAAAAGGTGTTTAGGTATGACAACCAAAGAATCTTAGGCATCAACATTTTTACTTCCCATCAGTAATTCTGCCCCAAGAGAGCTGAAGACAATCTAATTGGAACCCCTATTCCCCTATACAACTTCTCTGTCGATGAAGTAACACAAAAGTTTTACTTACCAAAATATGGATTCCCCTCCACGGCCAGTTCCCATGGGGTCGCCGGTTTGTATAATAAAATCCCTCTGTCGCAAAGCAGAATACATAAGATACTGCTTTCATGTTTGTGAAGTTAAACCAACAAAAACATAAGGAATTGAGAATACTCACCTGTACATTATAAATAAGACAGTAGTTGTAGTACTTGACTTTGCAGAGCTTCAGAAAATTCAGACAAGCTGTAAGAAATTACAAGCACATTTACTAAAGAAAGCCCCAGATACAGGAAGTACAGATATAAGATATCCAGTTCAGTGTGTAGAAAAGTGTTTTTGGAGCAGACCGTGCTAAGACTTACCAGCGCACAACCTTACGCACGCTGCGAGACGTGCTCTAAGGAGAGGTACCGCCTCCTCCCTCCCTAGAGCCTAGCGATTCAAAGAACCCTGAACGCAGCCGGCTACAGGGGAACGCACGTTCTTTTTTCCTCCCCGGTTTCTTGCCAAACACCCGCGGTCACACTTGCGCTTACAACAAAACCCGAGCCTCCCAACAGCAACCGATGCTCCCGAGTGCTTCGAGCGCACGCAGCAGCTGCCGCAGGGACGGCTGCCGGCCGCAGAGCTCGCCGGGCGGGAGAAGGCGGGCCGCTGACTGCAGCCGCCCGCTCGGAGCCCGCTCCCTCAGCCGGCCGCCCCGGCACCTCACACACCTCGCGTTGCGACAGCCCCGGCGAAGGGCCCGGCTCGCCACCGGGGCGCGGG